AAGGTGCCCCAAGACTCGAGAACATGGACTTGTGCAACCCACCTTGTACCAACTAGGCTTTCCTTTGGGTGCCCTTCTGACGGTGAAAAAATGCCTGGGTGGTTTTGGTATTGGTAGCCTTGACAGTTAATATTCGGTGAGTTGGTCATGGCCTTGATTCACCGACAAAACCGTCCGAGTGGCTCCAAGTCGAGGAGCAGGCTGCATTCCGCTGCCTGTTGCGGGATGTCGTTCAGTTCAAAGCAAAAACTGGCAGCCGAGGACATGAGGCCAAAATCGGTTTCATGGCAGCTGGCTGTTCTATGCCATTGTCTAGAATGAGCTTGATGAAGTCCTCTCCTCTACTTCGACCTTGCTGGGGGGTAAAAGATGCATGGAATGGGATGATGGGTGCATGGTGACTGACTTGAGACAGAGTGACCGAAACGAAAAAGGGCGAGAAAAGTGTACACAGTGCGCCACTAATTCTTGATGGGGTTTGACGGCAGCGGGGGATCAGAGCGAGGATGTACATAAGTAATGTGGTGGGGCCTCCTGCGACAAGTTTTGGGCTTTGATTGGTCCATGTGTTGCTGCCAACCGATCGTCCTCGCAGCGGTACGTACCGGTTTAATTCCCGTCGCAAGTCGTTGACAAGTGAAATTCGACAGAACAGCAAAATCTCATCTCCCAGGGCTGCAATCTCATTGTTCCAAGTTGGAACGCCGGTGTCGATATGAAGCGGTGTACTGCAGACCGGTTGACTGTGAAATGATCCAGGAGCAACTGACAAAATCAACAGCCGGGTATGACCGGTTGTCGTCGGGTCGGCCGGCAGTTGGCCTCTGACAACGGCCCGTTCGGGGTCCGGCGTGTCATCCGTGTTATGTCGTTGCCCTTTGCAGACTTCCTTTCTGAAAAAGTGCGAGCCCTCCGCTTGAGGATGACTGGAGATACCTACAAGTACGGCACACTTTCGCTCTCGACCCTTTCCGATTTTCACCTTCCAGCAGTTCCCCATCTGAATCGCTATCCTGTTCTAGTTTCCCTCTTGGTACTTTCTTTTCTTTTTCTCGGACGACCTCTCTCTGAAATTGGCCCCAAGGGGCATTTTGGGAGTCCTGGACGCCTTCAGTTGTTGGCTCTACGGATGCAGGGCCCCTTGCCTCTTGGCCCCCCAACTTCTCTCATTGGGCAGGTCCGTCAGGTCCGAGGCGACACACTTCAGCTCGTCTCACCCACAGTCGGCCTTTTTCAACCACATCTCAGCTTTCATCTGTTGTCTTTCTGCCTCCAGTTCTTAAGTTGTCCAGACAGCTCGAATCTTTCGGCCTGAGCAATCGCACTGCCCGGGTATTGAGGTGAGCATCATTCGGGCAAGGTAAAGAGGTAAGGCAAGGCGATGCAAGGCAAGCCAAGATCAAGAGAGAAAAAAAGACCCGTTGTTGAGGTGATGCAAGTCAACCCCCCATGGAAAACAATCGTGTCTCATCCCAAATTGTTTGGTTATTTGCGAACGCATAAGTTAGAGAAAGAAAAATAGCGTTTCAAACAAAGGGTACTAAATCCATCGTGAGTTGTGAATGGTTCCCATCCTCCTCTGCTGTCACTTTAGCTTCGCATCCAAAATGGGCCAATCGCCGTGGACTACGAAGGTGCATTACAGAGAGAAAAGACGAGGTACATTCCTCTTTGGAGGTTCCGGCAGCTGTGGTGCCACACCGGCGAATCCCACCAGACAGGACAAGCTGTCTGTCTGCCGTCACCAGGTTGGTTCAGGCATGATGCCTTCATCGTCTTCAGGCCTTTGTGGGAAACCTCAAGGAGGAAATGTCAGGGTTAAAGGTGGAAGAGTAATACATAGCATCGGATTGGGCGATATGAAGGTCGGGGTTGGACGTGAACAAGGGTATTTCAGTGTCACTACAGCCAACCCATGCGAGCCATGCTGAAGAGAGCTTGATACATATCGAGCCTAAAGACTGGTGAAAAGAAAGAGAGTTGAGGTTGTCCTGGTGACGGGATTCATGTTGAAAATTGTCCCCCAGCACATACACTACAAACAGATAATGTGCAATGCAATATGCGAAATGGTGTCCCCCATTGCTTCGTTGTTCACGATATCATTGCGGAGAATAATCCATCCATCATCCAAACCACGGTCGTTTAACCCCGGCTCCCCGCAACGGACGGGACCTTCCCGCCGCTTTGCCTGACTAACATTATTTACCTTTTAAAGCTCCAAAGAGCTTAGGGCAGAATGTTACAGTAGGTAGTTAGTACCTTCCTAGGTAGATGATAGCTTCCCCGCCAGCATCCTATCAGACGTCGTTAATCGAACACCAAAAGCAAAAAAAAAGTACCTTCCCCCTCACTGAGGTCACGACACACCTGCTTCCTTCACACCTGAGATCGATAACCTAGATCTTGTTATCTCTTTTTTTTCTCCTCACGCGGCGACAAGCTCCTCAATGCTAGCCACGTCTTCTCGAGCATCACCATCACTGCGTGTCTTTTCGACCACCATTCATAGCTTCAGTCTTAGACCCAACAGTAACACAGCTTCTTCTGTTCGCTCCCACGTGGTCCGTGGCCACTTCTTCTCATCAACTACTGCAAGGATGGCCCCTCCCAAGTCCGCCTACGGCTTTCTTGACTTTGTCAACGCCTCTCCCACTCGTATGTTTCAGATCAGTTGTTGTTTACTATCCAGTTGCTTTGTGATTGAGAGTCTAAGGTCGTGAGAAGCTCGTGAGCTAACCAGCGTGAACCCCTCACCCTCTCTGAACAGCCTACCATGCTGTAGCCACCTCGGCCGCCCTCTTTGAGAAGGCCGGCTTCAAGCTCATCCGCGAGCGCGACAACTGGGCCTCGGTCGTCCAGCCTGGTGGCAAGTACTACCTGACACGCAATGGCTCCTCCATCGTCGCCTTCGCCGTCGGTGGCAAGTGGAAGCCGGGCAACCCCATCGGCATGATCGGCGCCCATACCGACTCCCCCTGCCTGCGCGTCAAGCCCGCCAGCAAGAAGAGCGCCCACGGGTTCCAGCAGGTCGGCGTCGAGCTCTACGGCGGCGGTCTTTGGCACACCTGGTTCGACCGCGACCTCAGCGTCGCCGGCCGCGTGCTCGTCAAGGACGCCGACGGCAACTTTGTCCAGAAGCTGGTCAAGGTCGACAAGCCCATCCTTCGCGTTCCCACTCTCGCCATCCACTTGCATCGCCAGTCCAATTTCGACCCTAACAAGGAGGATGAGCTGCTGCCCATCCTCGGTTTGGTGGAGAAGGAGCTCAACAAGCCCGCCGAGGCCGCCCCCGAGAGCGCGACCGGCGAAGCCGAGACTGAGGCCGACTTCCAGCCTCTCAAGGCCATGACGGACCGCCACCACTCGCAGTTCCTCTCCGTCGTCGCCTCCGCCGCCGACATCTCTTCCGTCTCGGACATCGTCGACTTCGAGCTGATCCTGTACGATACGCAGCCCTCGTGCCTGGGCGGTCTCAACGACGAGTTCATCTTCTCGGCCCGCCTCGACAACCTCAACATGACGTACTGCTCCGTCATGGGTCTCATCAACTCCGTTGAGGGAACCACCGCTTTGGAAAACGACACCTCGATCCGCCTCATCTCGTGCTTCGACCACGAAGAAATCGGCTCTCTCTCCGCGCACGGCGCCGACTCCAATCTTTTGCCAGCCATCCTGCGCCGCCTGTCGGTGATCCCCTCCCTCAACGCGGACTCGACCGAAACAACGCCCATCTCCGAAACAGCCTTCGAGCAAACCCTCGCCACCTCCTTCCTGGTCTCCGCCGACATGGCCCACTCCGTGCACCCCAACTACGCGGGCAAGTACGAGACCAACCACCGGCCCGAGATGAACAAGGGCACCGTGATCAAGGTCAACGCCAACCAGCGGTACGCGACCAACTCGCCTGGCATCGTGTTGCTGCAGGAGGTGGCCAAGAAGGCCAAAGTGCCGTTGCAGGTGTTTGTCGTGCGCAACGATTCGCCCTGCGGAAGCACGATTGGGCCGATGCTTAGCGCCAAGTTGGGCGTCCGGACGCTGGACTTGGGAAACCCCCAGCTGTCGATGCATTCGATTCGCGAGACGGGCGGCAGTTGGGACGTGGAGCATGCTATTGGGTTGTTTAAGGGGTTTTTGGAGATGTATGGCGAGTTGGAGGGCAAGATCTTTATTGATTGAGTTGAATAGTTAAGTTTGGATGGATGATTTCGAGTTGGTTAGTAGGTAAAGGTTGGATATCCATTGAGGGATCTGGCTACCCCCGAGTTTTGGTCCCATGTATGGGCGTTTGGATGTGGCGAGGTGTTTTGGGGTGGGATGATAGAAAGGAAGACGTCACTGGTGATCATGTGGCAGTGAGGCCACTTGCAGAGAGGGCTTGAGGGTTGGGATAGCATGAAAATGGACGTCAGGAACAAAACAAAATCATGGTCTTTTGTATGAGGTCATGAATAAAGTCACGGACTGTTGGATATACATAGCGGAAAAGGGGGAGAACGTATGTAACCAGCTACCACTTAGGAAGAGATAGGATGAGCGCCTGTTCCCAGTCAACATCGATGATATTTGAACAATCTTTCATGTATCGAGCTTGATCCAGACCTCGACCTAGATCCTGGTCTCGATGGCTCCAGTAGGTCCTGTTCTTCATAGGAAGACATGCTCTAAGCGACCAAGAAAAGTGAATGTTTCTACGCTACGCTATATTCTAGACGCTTCTACAGATGCAACAACGAAAGTGTATCGACTCTAGACCACAACAAGATGCAAAAGGTCATGCGTGTAAGATTCCTTGCCGCCGTAAAAACGCCGCGAGGCGCCTATATGGATGCCATGCCAATGTACTTATAGACCAGGAAAACCATGTACAAAAAGATGACGAAAATGCCAACCTCCGCTCTACTCATGCGTCTACACTCTTCCATATGTTCTGCCGCTTCCAAAATGACAAATATGCATAGTCCCCTCTATTTCGCCAGGAAAGTTGTCTAAAAAGGGAATCATTCCTTGCCCTCCTTCTCCTCCAACTCGCGCATGTACTTGACGAAGGTCTTCTTATGTGTCTGTTCGCGGAAATTTGTTAGAACAGATCCGGGCAGCAAGTAGGTAATGGGGGTATTAAGGGCGAGGGTTTGGGGGCCGGTTACTCACCATGCCGGCATATTTCCCGTCTCTCAAAATGCAAATGTATCTCAACCCCAATTTGACGAAAAGCTCATAGACCAAGTCCATAGGAGATCGGATATCCAATGCTACTGGTGCCTGTTTTGCGTTCACTGTTAGTTCACACACCTACAACACACTCATTAATACTGGGAAAGGGATTACTCACCGGATCAATATAAGGCGAAAAGTCCGTCGGATCCCTCCTACCCCCAGCCTCCTCATCATCACTATCATCAATACTCGGCACATTCGCCATCAAACACAGCGCCGTGCTCTCATCCGGCAGGTTATCCAATGCATACTCCAGATCCGGCGCCGGGATCAACCCCACGAGAATCTCATTCCGAACAATCGGCAAACCACCGTCCAGCTCGCCGGCCCGGTGCAGCGACTCGAGCTTGGAGCGCAGCGAGGTAGCTGGCACAAGCGGCGAATTGGAGATGTCGATGATGCGCTCGCGGCGCACACGCGGGACGATGTCGATCAGTTCTGACGTGAAGATGGGCTTGTGCTTGTTGTTGAGGAACGGATACGAGTTCATTTCTGTTAACAGGTCGTAGATGGAAAGCGGCTCGATGGCATCGGCTGTCCACTTGGCTACTAGAATGGCAAGACTGAAGGGGAGCACGTAGTCGAGACTGCCGGTAAGTTCGAACAGGATGACGGCCAGCGTGACGGACAGGCGGGTGACGCCGCACATGGTCGAGCCGGCGGCGATCAGGCCGTACACGCCCGGTTGGATGCACGAGACGGAAGAGACCTTGTTGCAGCTGCTGAACATGGCCGAGTCGGGGAAGGCGAGGACGAGCCATTGGACCATGTGTCCGATGAGACGGCCCATGAGACCGCCGACTACCATCGAGGGCACGTAGATGCCTGCGGGAACTTTGATACCGAAGGTGATGATGGTTAGGAAACCCTTGATGAGGAAGGCCCAGAGCAAGTGCCAGAGGATGGGAGGGATATCGGCCTTGGAGTCGGGGCAGAGGCCGAGATCCTCTAGGTTGTTGTCCCGGTCATCACATGGCGCCGCGAGGTTATATAGCAGCTTGGCAACAGGCATCTTGGTCAGGCCGTTCCAGTAGCCGATCAGGCCGGTAACAAGCGCCACCAGGACGACTTCCAGAAGAGGATGCTTCTTGATGACAGGAATCCTGCGGAAGGTCACCGCCCACTTGCGAGATGCCTTGATGAAAAGGGCACCGGCCGCCCCGCCGAGGACTCCGACAAGGATGAAGCTTACCAGCTCGAAGTATTCCCAGTCAATCAGATAGCGCACCTGGAACATGACGATCTTTTGGGTCCCATAGGGATTGAGGAACTTGAGCGTCAACGCCGCCGTGATGCAGCAGAAGAAGGTCCTGAAGAGGGTCTTGGCAGGGAAGAAATAGGCCACTTCTTCCAGACCAAAGAGTACACCACCCAGAGGAGCACCAAATGCAACAGCCACGCCAGCGGCGGCAGCAGCAGAGAGAACCTCACGGCGCTTGGCATCGTTGCGATCATACTTGCTGAAAAGACGGCAGGCAATGTTGCCGACACAGGTCGCAATGTGTACGTATGGGCCTTCCTTGCCCAAACTCAAACCAGACGCAACGCTCAGAACGAGGCCGACCGTCTTGATAATGAGAGTTTTGAGACCCAAGAACCCGTGGAGGACGAATCCGCTGAGAATGACGCGAACCTCGGCGACACCGCTTCCAGCAGCCGAGTAGTAAATCATCGGAGGAGCAGAGGCAGGCGGAGCAACAGATGCCCGTCGGCTGGGAGTACCGTTGCCATTGGGACTTTCACCCTCTTCATCACCATCGCCTCCAGGTGACACCGGAGCAGCAGCCAGATTCTCATCCAGAGTCGACAAACGGTACGCCGAAGGAACAACGGTCTTGGTGGTTAGAGTGAGCAAGCAGGATACGCTGGCCAGAGTAATTGCCAAGCCGAGATAGATGACAAACTCGGTCCAGCGCTCTCCGAACGGCCATCCATGCATAACCTCACCCCAGTCCCTCCAGTCGGTACAAGGGCCGTGCGGACAGCACCTCTTTTCACTGATCAACAAGCCTCTTGCACAATAACCGTCCTTGAAGTCGAAGAATGTCGACTCGGTGACGTCGACGATGTAGGCCAAGACAGCAATAACAAAACCGACCAGAGCACTGAGTATCCATCCCTGAGCACCGTCGAACAGAATGTAGACGCGGCCCCAGAAGTCCTTCCGGCTGCGAAGGGCCTTTACACGATGGGCGTCGGCGATGCTATCGTGAACCCAATCGGTCGAGGTAAACTGGTCATACCAGACGCGGTCGTCAGGGAATAGGGACCCTTTGGATTCGGAAACGGATTCCTCTTGACGGTCGGCAAGGGCGCGTATCAGGCGTTGGCCCCATGAGTTTGCCCGGCTATGGTGTCGGGTCGGTGGGTTGCTTCGCACGGTGTCTGTCCCTTCACCCGCTAAACCCACTGTTAGAAAATGTTTATCATGATCAGAGGATACAGAAATTACCTACTTCCATAACTCTGGGTTTCTAGAAAGGTTGGGAGCCCTGGGATCCATGGGCACTAGCTATGCGGATGCGTGAAGAACGCGTAGTTCCCAGTAAAGAAGTGCGCTCGTCAGGGGCCCACCGGCTTGGTTCGTCATGCTGGGTCGTGTGCGGCGATAGCTCGAGGGTGAGCTTGGAACCGAGAGGTACGACTGTTGTGAAGGCTCTACCGAGAGTAGACCATCCGAGTCATTCTGGCTGTTCTGGCTGCTGTCGTTTTGGCCATCGCGAAGCTCGCGCATCCGTGGCGCGTGTTTCCTCCCCGCCATTAGAGACTCGTCGTTCTTAAGTAACGGGAAACAATGGAAGTCGAGTGCAGGGTTGTGGTACTATCCCTGAACAAGGTGTCTGATAAGAAACGGATCGGATATAAGCTGGGTATGGGTTGTCGAGAAGTGATGGGTGGTCGGTGGTCGGTGGTCGGTGGTATAGGTGATGTCGCAGTCTTAGGTTGAACCAAGAAGCAGCGCCGGCCACCGAGAAATCGCAACCCAGAAAGCAACAATATCAGGCTCCAAGACAAGTCTTGAAAGAGTGACACGTCGAATATGGTTACAAAGACTAAACAAGACAGATTTTGATCACCGCCGCGGTCTCCGTACGTTGTAACGACACGCCCTCGGCCTCGAAGCCTTTAGGACACCGTCGTAGCAGGTGTCTTGGCCGTCGAGGTGGTGTTGGGCAAGAGGCAACCTTCAGACGACAGGTCTCAAAGGAGCGCGAAGAATGGGAAGGGCTGACCGATATGACGGCAGAGTCTAGTCCCACGTGAGCACCCAGAAATCAGATTTCCAGGGTTGGTTGTTGGCGTAGCTTGATGCCGTTAACCGCCGAGGAGAAGTCGGGAATTGGCACGAGGCGCAGCTGTCAGGGAAAAAGAATAGGGATTGTCAGATGGCTGCTTTTGTGTGTGTGTGCCGTGTCAGTGTAATTGGTGCCCGTGTAAGTGTAACGGGTTGTCGGTACACTACTGCGCCAAAAAAAAAAAAAAGGCTTTCCGATGGTATCACGAGAAGCTGTCGAGGGCATTTGAGAATGCGACAGCAGTACCAAGTGACAATAGTACACCGAGCATCGAAGAAAAAAAAAACAAAAAAAAAAACAGAAGGACGTCAAGCGTGCAGGACGCAGCAAGCCATGCCGCGGTACATATACCTACTTATGTACTTAAAGCAAAGGCGGGAGGTGGGAAGGGTGTGACTGGGGGGGCATTTGGTAACTCCCATCCCCCCGCCCTCCACCTTTGCACATCGTTCATCCCGTCAAGCGTGCGTGTGCATGATTGCCGTCCTTCAACCTTGTCGCGCCATCGCGTATCTTGAGAAGGAACCACAGGACAAGAGAACCTTTCTGGCCTGCAGGGTGGATTAGCTTCGGGTTGCGGGGGTGATTCGGGGGTTCGAATGGCTTCTCCATCCTCATGCAACGCCAGCACCGACATACCAAATCTGGTCAAGACCGTGATGGCTCAATGGGAATTCCTAGTCGCGTGAATGGTACAATTCCCACTGAAGTCTTCCAGGCCTCCCCCTGTGCTAATCAACGCAGCCGCCCAGGCCGGTGCCGAGCCTGCCTGGTTATGTCATGGTCACTCAGGCAGCCCCTGTCCCCAGACTCCAGAGTGACCCCGAGCGAGCCCCGTCGTGGACTTCCCGTCATCATTGGAGGTGACGGAGGGGTCCAAGACTCCAAGAGGGACAATAACTCGCCAGGGTTAGGGCTGGAGGTGATGTCGTCGTACGATAAGGCGCCATTTTGACTCCTGTTCGTCAGCGTCGTCCACAACTAAACGGCCCAAGATCGGCTGTTTCTCAGTAGCCAAGACAGCAGAAGGTGCCCCAAAGTTGTATGCTCCACTGGTCACACCAGCACTCGAGGTGACACTGGATCCCTGTGAGCACTTAAACCTCTAGTGGCACCTCAGATTCAAGTTGCCATCCATGTTTGAAGAAAGAGACTGAGGTGATGTCCGGCTGACTTGGTGCCGAACATGTCTCACAATATCTTGCTTTGATCTCGATCTGGATGTTCATCTGTAGCCTGGAATCTTTGGATGAACACTACTCAGATCTACTATCTGAGCAAAGAGGGGATGAAAAAGGAAGACATGGGAGGAGAGTTTGGAAAGACAAACTGGGCCCTGGGGATCAGTGGAGCTGTCTTTCGTCCAGTTCCTCCATCTCGAAATTGGCTTTTTTTGGAGATTGCCGTGTGAGTTATCATGGAATTGACATGCGGGGTACGCGCGCTAAAAATCTCAAGATTCACAAGATGGAAAAGATTTGAAGCTCGTGGTGTGAGGTGTTTGTACTGTACGTACGATGTCATTATTCCAGCCATACTTGTCTGTCTCTGTGTGGCCTTGCTTTGTTGCCGGTCTTGCTGCTTCCCGTGTATTCGCAAGCGATAGTTGAGGAGATCATGGAAACCTTGGTCCAGCAAGAGACGACTTCGAGGTTGTCATGACTTCAAGTGGGATGATCCATTAGGTTGTGCATTATGACCGTGGAACTCTCTAGCGGTTTCACACACTCGGCGTCGCTGTATTCCGTGCCCGGCGGGTGAAAGTGGACCAGACCCACTCGGGGTCCACTGTTAGGTCCTAGCGTTCACTGTCACTTCTCACTGTGGTCACTGTGCCAGACTTTAGGTGGTTCTGACTACCCAACACTCTGTTTACCTTACCGTTGGCAACTGCAAATCATCCACTGCCAGCTGTCCTGTCTTCAACATCGTTCGGGGTATGGATGAATAGCAGGAAACCATCAATTACCATGTCATCCAACGAGGTGAAACGCCGCGCGGTGCCCAAGTTCACCTCATTCGCGCCAGCCACACCAGCCCCGGAGGTTGACTCCGTGAAACAACCATCGACAGACCAAGGTTCATCAAAAGATCAGGAGAAGGACGACCGTGAAAGACGACACCGCCATAGGGACCATGATCGGGACCGTCACAGAGACAGTGATAGGGAAAGAGAAAGGAAGACGGAAGGGAGGAGGGGAAGGGAGAAGGACAGGGACAGGCATCATGACAGGCATCACAGTCGACATAATGAACGAGATCGCCATCATCGCAGACGGTCGGCCAGCCCAGCTTCGCAGTTGAAAGAAAACCACTCTTCGCGTCATGAACCATCACCGCCCATCCAGAGTAACAACGTCTTCTACTTCGACAAGAAGGAGGACCCCTTGATTTGGCGCTATGGCGGGAATGAGCGCTCAAAGATCCCATCTTACCGCCGCTTCGGTGCTGGAAAAGTCATTGGTTCCCCAGGATACCTGTCCACTTACTTCGAAGGCTCGAAAGAACTGTTCACCATCAGAGGCCTGGGCGAGGGTAGGGGCAGCGGTTCGGTCTTTAGAGATAAGATTCTGATGAGCTGGGCCAGAGCCAAGGGAGCGAAAGCAAAGCACATCAAATCTGGCGTGAATGGTGAAAATGGAGCATCAGCGGCAGAAGACGTCGATGGCGACTTTATATCTCTCGAGCCCCCAAGGAAACGGCAACGAGCTGAAAAATCATCAGAACCTGGCGATGGTGAAATGACACCAGACTACAGGTCGATCTATGGCAAAGCCAAGTCAGAAGATGAGGAATCGGATGCTGATGAAACATCCTCCGATTCGGAGAGCGAAGACAAGGTGGGAAGTCATCTATTGGACATGTCAGCTGCCAAGAAGAGATCACTTGAACTCCATCGCCAGATCAAAAACAGCCCCGGAGACACCAAATCTTGGCTCGAGTTAATTGCGTTGCAAGACACCCTCTTCAGGGAGCACCAACTGGAGGGCCAGTCTATAATGGGCGTTCAGGTAAAAGCTCTGGCCGAGCTCAAGCTATCTCTCTATGAAGAGGCCCTGCCTCACGCAACCGACATCTCTCTCAAAGACACTCTGTTAGACGGAATGATGCGTGAGGGTGAAAAGGTGTGGGATCCCAAGCAGCTTGCGAAGCGCTGGGAAGAAATCACCAAGGCCAACCCCGACAGCTTCCTCTTGTGGGTTTCACAACTAAACTTTGAGCTCTCGCAGGTGGCGACCTTCACGTACGATGAAATGAAGAATGTCATGATGACCAAGTTGCAATCCTTGAGCCAAGCTCTACCAGCAGCCGCGTCTTCGGATGGGAACAAAGCTGCAACGCTCTGCAGCCAGCTGATTTACGTTTTCATCAGGCTAACGTGCTACCTTCGGGACTCGGGATACGTCGAGCTGGCTGTTGCCACGTGGCAAGCAACTCTGGAACTGAACTTCTGCCGGCCTAGTAATGCGTCGGATATCCGATCGGTTATGGAGGACTTTGCGGACTTTTGGGAGAGCGAAGTGCCACGGATAGGAGAGAAAGATGCCAAAGGTTGGCGTCACTTTGTTAAAGACATAGACGATATGGCCGACCCACCAGAAGCAGTAACAAGGAACCCACCTAGAACACCTCAGACGAGGGATCCATTCAAGACTTGGGCGTCGCTGGAGCGACAACAGGCGTCAGAGGCAACAATGCCGGCCCGTACTCTGGACGAAGGAACGGACGATGACCCATTCCGAATCGTCATGTTTTCGGATATCAAAGACTTGCTGCTGTGGTTCCCAGTCCAGGTACTATCACAAGCGCAACCTCAGCTGGTTGAGGCGTTGTTGACGTTCTGTCGACTTCCTACCCGGTCGAATTCAGCGCTGAAAGACCCATTCATTGCGCCCCCCGGTCAAGCCTTCGACTCTGCCATGAACCAACTAGGCCGTCATGAGGCTTCGACTTCGGTGGAGATTGAGAGAAAGCCACCACTGTTTGGACAACAAGGTGGGAATATGGCTCTCTCGCAAGAGCTCCTCTTTTCCGGACAAGACTGGTTTCAGTATCTCGGTCAACGGTCTGCTTTCAGTCAAGAGGCGGATGGTGAAGTTGATCTTGGCTGGGTACTCGAGACACTGCGCTACCTGGTCCTTGGCTGTGGTGTTGAACAACTGGCTGAATACTATCTGGCACTGGCATGGCCCCATGAGCCTTCTGGAGCTAAGAAGGTCGCCAAGGGGCTGCTGAAAAAATACTCATCGAACATGAAACTATACAACGCATATGCCATGATCGAGTATGCGAACGGAAACGCCGACATGGCTGAAAAGGTACTACTCTCGGCAACGAGCCAAAACGCTGTCGACAGCCAGATACTATGGAACACCTGGGTATGGATGCACCTGAAGGCGGGCAGAAATCAACTCGCTCTGCTTCGGCTGCTGTCTTCCGTGGACAGTACCATAGATGTGAAGAGTAGCTCGTCAGGGTCGCCAGCTTTGCTTCTTAAAGCAAGATCTCACTTCTCTACCAAACGAGACTACTCCCTCTCCTCTTACCGACTCGAATCAGCACTCCAATATGCCGAAAGCTTTGCCCTTCTCGAGTACCTCTCAACAACCTCGGGCGAAAACAGCAGCAGCACCAAATCCCCAAGCCAAGGCAACATTGCTTCCGCCCTCGCCAACATCCAATCCTTTGCCACCGAGCTTCACTCTTTAGGCCACCAAATCCCCCACGAACGCCTCCTCCAAACCGCCGCTTGCCTGCTTTACCACCACGCAACCCACGGCCCTTACAAGCCATCCACCCTCCGCCAACATCTCCATAACTTCATCCATCTCTTCCCGCACAACACGATGTTCCTCTCCCTCCTGGCCTGGGCAGAGCAATCTACTCTCCGAGTCAACGACCCAGTCCGCTCCATCGTGCGCGAGAGCTTGTCCTCGTTTTCTGGGAATGAATTCACCAGGCCAGAAGACATTCACACAGCAGTACATGTACCGATCCCAATATCCACATACCGCTTCGCAATCGAATATGAGCTCCTCTCCGGCGCCGGCCTCAGGCAGCCCGGCACCGCAACGATCCACTCCACCAAAGCCGCTTTCGAAGCCGCTGTTTCGGATCCTGCTGCTTGTAAATACAGTGTGGACATATGGATCGGGTACATCCGGTTTCTTAGGCAGGTGTATTTGCAAGCACTTTCTTTATCCTCCTCCGGATTTTCTGCCAAGACAGGGGCTCGTGAGAGTGGTAAGAAAAAGACGGATGCGCAGACGGCGAGCGCGCTCAAGTCTCTCAAAGATGTGTTTTATAGAGCTGTTGCTGCTTGTCCTTGGAGTAAGAGGCTTTATATGGAGGCGTTTTCTTCAGAAGCGCTAGTGAACGAGTTGAGCAGTGGGGAGTTGAGAGCGGTGGTGGGGACGATGGTGGCGAAGGGGTTGAGGGTGCATGTCGATTTTGATGGGTTTGAGAGGAAGTGGAAGGAAAAGGAGGAATAAGAAGAGAGGACAGGGGGACGAGGGGGCGAGGGGGCGAGGGGGGAGATACTGGAACGGGAAAGACGACGGGATATAGAAGATACAGAGAGAGCGCGGCAGAGAGGTCGAGATAGGCGTCAGGGAAAGGATGATGGAAGGAGGATACATGATGAAAGAAACAGCTATCGTATGATATTGCATGGAAGGAAAATGGGTAACTGTCCTTTCAACTGTAATATTGAAGCTCTTCACAAACGTGGCTTTGAACCCTAACCCTGGAAAGGTACGACACTTTACCGATGGCCGCGTTATAACACGCCCAGATAGCGTCATTACGTACCACTGATCGACCCCTGGAGTTTTTGACATTTTAACCCTTTTGCCCGGATCAACAATTATTGACACTTTGGTACAACACAAAGTTCGGGACGGCTTCCGTCACCTTTGACCCAGGCGGCACGAAGCGAGGTGGTGTTACCGATAACCTGGCAAAGTGGCTGGTTTTCCACTTTCCAGTTCGAAGGTGGCGCTTTTTGATGACAACAAAGCCCTTTCCTCCCATCAAGCGGTGTCCATTATCATCGCGACATCGCCGTCTCCTCTGCTAGACTAGTGGACGGTCAACAACTTGAATGGGTCCCGATAAGGCACTGACACTTGCATTGTACTAGTCCAGTCCTTGTGGCAACCACAACCGCGACACCGACCGCGACCGGCGTACAATACACACTACTTTGTGCATCCATCCATCCATCCATCCACTTTACAACCTACAGCCGAACCTCTTGTTGGAAACCTAAACACCAAAAGAGGAAGAGGATCGAGATCGCCATGGATAGAGTACAGCAACGCTGTAATCGCGCCATTGTAACTTGAGACAAGCAACGGGTACAGAATCATGCGCACCCCACCAACTCTTTTCCTGGGCTTGCTGGGTCTCCACGCAGTTGCAGCGGCACTCCCAGAACCAGCATCCGTATGCGAATCGAGGACCGTCAACTACATCACCCATACCCTACCACAACAATGTCTTCGTACATCATGGACGACCCCGACCGCCGTCACGAGCGCAGTCGCCACCGATACCACATCTTCCGAGGTTACGAATAACGAGACAGCAGCGCCGGCGCCAGCGAACGAGACACCACAGCAACAACACCATGACCAGCCCAAGCCGTCGGCGGAACATACACAGGAGCAGACAAAGGAGGAACAGGAGGATGAGGACTTGGCTTCCAGCACGTTCATGTCGTTTGAAGAATGGAAGGAGATGATGCTGCGCAAGTCTGGCGACCCCGCCAACAGCAACAAGGGCGGGCAGCAGAAGCATTCGGGACAGCAGAGAGCCGGCGGCGAGCACGATCAGAACGGCCCCAGTGATACCGACAGCCACGGACAAAACGAAGACGGCGAAAACTCGCTGAACTTCGACGCCCTCTCAGAAAAGGTCTCGGAGCTGACCACTTCTCCCTCCGGCAACCCTTCGACCGACCACGGCGGCAGCGGGAAAGCCAAGAAAGACGACCAGGTCGTCTACGAGGACGGGAAAACGCAGTACTACCGCAGCAAGGACGCCGGAAAGACGTGCAAGGAGCGCTTCTCGTACGCCTCCTTTGACGCCGGTGCTACGGTTCTGAAGACGAGCCCAGGCGCCAAGAACGCCAAAGCGATCCTCGTCGAGAACAAGGACTCGTACATGCTCCTCGAGTGCCATGCCAAGAGCAAGTTTGTCATTGTCGAGCTGAGCGACGACATCCTCGTTGACACGGTGGTGCTGGCCAATTTTGAGTTCTTCTCGAGCATGATCCGCCGGTTCAAGGTCAGCGTTAGCGACCGGTATCCCGTCAAGCTGGACAAGTGGGTTGAGCTGGGAACGTTCGAGGCGAGGAACTCGAGGGACATTCAGGCCTTCTTGGTGGAACATCCGCAGATATATACCAAGTATATCCGGATCGAGTTCCTCAGCCATTACGGAAATGAGTATTACTGCCCTGTTTCGCTGCTCAGGGTTCATGGAACGAGAATGCTGGATACATGGAAGGAACCAGATGATAGGCACGACGATGAGCAGGAAACAATCGAAGCTCCACCAGTACAGGAACAGTTGCCGCAGACTCCCGAACCCGAGCAGCCGAGTTCTCAAGTTGAAGAACCGACTGTTACGAGCGAGCCGGTGCCAAGTACTGTCACTGAGGCGAAGGAAGAGCTGCATGAGGAAATCGAGCCTGTTCAGATGGCGGAGGTCGGATTCACTCCTTGGGAGCCAGTATTCTATCGTGACCTTTCTCTGGAGGTTTGCGCCTTACGTTCACGTACAACTGGTCAACCCACTCGTATCTCGCCCGGAGCAGACAAATACAATATCTCTGCTGGAAACCCCGATCTGGTGAAGGGCCAGAACTCGACCAGAAGCGCTGCGCACGAGACATCGGTGACCAAGTCTTCTTCAGCAGCATCGAAATCTCAGGAAACTGCCAAGGGCCAACCTGCCAGCTCTTCCGCCTCTCACAGTTCCGCACAGCCTCAAGCAAGCAACACCACAGCCGGTTCTCCCAACAATAAGGCCCCTCCAGCCCGTCCTAATACCGCCAGCAACGAGACTGCTCCTTCGGCCTCTTCCGCCGCAAAACCCCCTAGCAGCAGCAGCAGTAGCAGCAGCAGCAGCACAACCGGCACCACAGGTCGCAACGACAGCAAAGAGAACGCGAACGCCGGCGGTAACAGCAGCGGAAGCGGCGCTCCCAGTCCCAACAACAAGAACAACCAACAACAAAAACCGAACCCTGGCGGCTCCCCCACCACCTCATCCCACCCCGCCTCCCCCACCGTCCAAGAATCCTTCTTCAAAACAGTCCACAAGCGGCTCACCCACCTCGAATCAAACACCTCGTTGTCGCTCCAATACATCGAGCAACAATCCCGGTTTCTCCAAGACGTCCTGTCTAAACTCGAGCGGCGCCAGCTCACGCGCGTCGACACCTTTCTCGACACGCTCAACAAGACGGTGCTCACCGAGCTGCGCAACGTCAGGCAGCAATACGACCAGATCTGGCAGAGCACGGTGATCGCTCTCGAGACGCAGCGCGAGCAGACGGAGCGGGAGGTGGTGGCGCTTAGTGGACGGCTGAACGTGCTGGCGGATGAGGTGGTGTTTCAGAAAAGGATGGCGATCCTGCAGAGCGTGCTTTTGTTGAGTTGTTTGGTTTTGGTTATATTTAATAGGACTGGTAGTAACAGCGGTGGAGGAGGTGGTGGAGGTAATAATGCGTTGGGCGGTAATGGAGGAGGGATGGGAGGCAGGCCTAACTCAAGAGGAGGATGGTTCGATTCCCCCGTCCAAGCCGCGCAGCGACGGTCCATGAGACCTGGTTCTGGCTGGATCAGTAATATGAGCATGAGCATGGGGATGAGTAGTCCGTTTCCATTTTCGACGACGGCGTCAACGTCTGGATTACAACAACAGCAACAATCGACTACAGCCGCCGAACCATCGCAGTCGGGTGGAGAGGATACAGACGCCGCCGTGGGAGGAAGCACGGGTGTTGATGCCGCAGCAGAACACAATCAGCAACAGCTTCACCCCAACGGCAACTATGGCCGCCAGCCCCCGTTACAGACGCAGCAGCAGCATTCATATGCTTACTCACGCAGCAACGACAAAGCGCTCCCGCTCACTCCCACCTCCGAGTACGATAGCAGGGAAGGGACGCCGCTGGTCCACGCGTCGCCACTCCGGCAGACATCAACGACTATAGACGAGGTTTTGGCGGGAGAGGGTGCTGACGGTAATTCACCGTTGTATACGCAGTCGTCATTCGGACCCGAGCCCGATTGCGGCCCGGATCAAGAGGGGTCGTCTCAGTCTTCATCGTCTGGGTCCGAGTCTGACGGGTTCACGCAAGAGACAACTACAAGTTTTGTCCAAGAAAGCGCCGGGCCTGCACAAAATGGAGTTATGAACGTACGTGTTCGTTCTAACCCTGCGGGAGAAAGAAGCGAGAGGGTTGAAGACGATATGGATCTGCTACCGGTGGATTCCATCGAGGATCAGCAGCAGCAAACACTACGACACCGACCCAGGCCTCCGCATCCTTATCATGGCTCGGGGACCGTAAAGCCATTGCCTGCTCTGCCAGAAACTTCAAGTTCATAATATTCTAACGCATGGTGGTCAATTTGAGCGGGACCATGCATGTCAGCGAGTCTATAGCAAAATATATGTTTGAGCATATTACGAACAACAAGTTTCCGGTGATTTGAAGTGGGTGCTAACAACACATGAACCGCAATGTGAACACCAAAGTATCCCAAGGGGATCAACCTCTCATTACGTTACTAACACATGCTTGGTCTAAAATACACACTACTGATTGCCCCTTGGGTGCAGCTCTCCATCACAACTCCTCAAAATAGGCAATCCGGGCATGGGCCAACCATCTTTCCTAGACCGCCGTGGCCTTCAATGACCCCTTTGGCATAGTCCAATCGGTTCCCGCCGATATACCATCCGAACCCGCCTTTTCGCCGATTTCCCTCAAACCAACAACAACCCATGGTGCTCAAATGATGCTTGTCTTTTTTCTGTTTTTCTCCATGTGGCTTCGCAAAATCTGACAAACCTGTCAAAAATCTGACCACCAATCTCAAAACGGCCATTCCATGCCAAATCTTTCACACCTCTCATAAACTCGAAGAAGATTGCAGAAAGTCAAATATCGTATGTATCGTACAGAAAAGTGTCTGGAGCTTGTTTTTCGTGTTGTCTACCGATGTTGAAGCTCGGTGATGTTCGCACGCTTACGGCGACTTTGGTCCACAGTTACTGGGTCGGATAGATAGCCTGCGGTTGGGTCTGAGTGTCGTAGTCATACTCCTCCAGGGCCGCAAGTCTGGTACCGCGATCGTACTGCGAGCGACGACGACGCTGCTCGTCACGGAAGTGTTGACCCGCGTTCGGGGTAAACAGACCTGATACATGTGTAAGCGATAATTCAACTATGGTGTGGAATCCCCAACATACCGACGTGCTCGGCATTCTCACAGCTGCGCTTCATCTTGGACTGGTTGTCCGGCTCGGGGAATGGCTCTTCTTGTCCAGCGAGGTCAGGTCTAGGTCCGTTGGACGTGAAATACAACTGCGAACTTTTAGTGACAATTCAATAATCAACTGAGTAGAGTCAGATTTCCACCTTGGGACGATAGTGAGGCGCCTCGAGCATCACTGAGCTGTTACGGAACTTCTGAACGAGGCAGTCCTTTCCTTGGATGGCTTCGAAAGATCAGCATTGGTTTCATAAGACGCGTTCAGCTAAACTTACTGGCATAGGATATCTCTGCAACCTTATCACTCTTGAAGCAGTTCCAACGCTGATTGCCCCGAGCATTGACAAACTACACATTGTGTTAGGTCTGATCCGGTGATGCGGAAATTGAAACTTACGTCGACGATATCCAAGGGCTTAAGGCTGTCAGCGATCAATAAACCAAGGTTGGAAACAGAGACGAACTTACATCGACAAAATTGATGAACGCATATCCGACACTAGTAAGTTAGCAAACGTTTCGCACGACAAAGGGTGGGCTATCACATACTTGCAGTCATTGGCAAAGTCGATGCGCAAGTACATGAAATCGTACTTGCCCCAGCTTGACTCGTCAATGATTCGCTTCAGCATGGCTTGGTCGACCTTGTTGGGAATGTTACGAAGCATGATCTAAAAAGTCAGTTCCGATTTTTCCATCGAGTCTAGGAAATCACTTACCGTAGTCCTGACGTCGATGCCCTCCCGAATGCGGTTGACATCGACGTGATTATGATGTCCAGCCGCGTTCTGGTACGGCGATCTGGAGACACGCATGGCATTCTGACGACGGCTATCCGGACGTCCAAAATGCTGCATGCTCCGAGGACTGGTATAGTCGTTCTGCATTGTCATTGGCGTAGCGGGCGGCGTGTAAATAGAGGAGTTCATCACAGAGAGCCCACCACTCATCGGCGTCAGAGGAGTCAGAGGTGCAACGCTATGGCCGCGAGTGGGGGTCTGGTCGAGTACATAGCGGTTGCCACTGCTGATGGGAGTTCCGTAAGCCACCGGGTACATAGCAATCTGCTGCTGGGGAACAGAAATGCTTGCCGGCGACTGAGTGGCGCGTCCGCCACCAACCGAAGGACGGGCTGACTGCGGAGTTCTGGCAACACTCATGTTCTGGAAGATGTTGGTAATATCTTGCACCTGGTGTCGGGGAGGATTATAGGACTCCGCTGACGCGAGACCCAGAGCTGGTGTATCCGGCTGGCACAAAGTCAACAGTAGCTGAATACCCTATAGCAATGAATGTCAGTCGATGCATATACTAATAGAGGAATTTTTTAAGTGGCTCACATTGACAGTGAAGCCGTTGAACCTGGAAACAACGGCAACGGCCACGTCGACGTCAGAGAACTCGGCAATGGCCTTGAAAAGCCCCTGGGTTGAATCATTCAGGCGCTGGAAAGCAAACAACCCCCCCTCACCCTGGAGGAAGTTGTAGACGATTGCCTCCACCTGAGACTGGGCATAGGGAAAAGAGTAGCCCGACCCCGGAAAGGCGAGGACCAGGAGCTGCCCTTCAGAGACAGGGTCAACCGAATTACCCGGATAGGCAAACTATATCGGCAAGTTAGTCATGAGGAACTGGATACGCGTATGCATAGGAGGCCTACGTGGAAAAAGTCAACAGGCGTAATGTATGTCGCACGCCACTCGGGATTGCCCAGTTGAACATTGTCATGGACTTTGCGAGCGTCACGGATGTCTGTCAGACGAAGCAAGACTCTGATTCCCTCTTGGACGGCATGGTGCTTGCCCTGCACAGGCGAACCGAGTCTCTCCAGTTTCTGTGATGTATGTCAGTTCCATTCTTCTTGTAGCGGCAATGCGAGTGTTGTGTAGAAGGGCAAAGTCACATACGCGGAGATACTCCTCAACGCCGACGACCGTAATCGGCTGGGACGAGTAGAAGACAAGGTAGCGGGAGAGACTGAGGTCAGTACTGAGCTTGTCCGCGGCCTTGGGACTGTCAAGCTGGGCATAAGAAGGCTGCACAGCGTTCAGTAGGCTCTGCATTCCATTCTTGGGCCCGTTGGCAGAACCGTGGGCGACCAGAGGACCGGGAACAGAAACAGGAAGGAATGAGGAAGCCGTAGGAGATAGCTTCTGGTCCGGCTTGGTGATGGATGAGGTGGAAACAAAGGGATCCTTGTCTGAGCCACTAGCCGGAGCTACAGAGTAGCCATCGGACGAATTGTGCGAATGGAAATGGTGAGAATGTGCATCCTGAGAGGTAGCGGTACCGACGGCCAGGGTCCGGTTGAGAAGCCTGTTGGACCTCGCCGAGTTGTCATCCGGTGAGAAGGCAGTCAATCTGGTATCCGGAGTACCTTCATGCTTGTACGAGTCGGCGGCGCCGCTCGACGAGTGAGGTGAGGAGGGGTTGAATCCCGTGTCTCGTGCCTGCGCCATGGTTCGATGCAGGAATGGGTGTTGTCGCGTGTTCGTAACGCTCAAGGCTGTCGACGCGCTGGTGCTTTTTGCCAAAAGAGACTCGTGGTGAAAGAATGGACGACAGATGGGACCTGACCTGTCGAGCTTCACCGTCGCAAAAGAGAAGGATTTCCAGGAAACGAGAACGAGAGTGGAAGTGAGGATAGATGATAATAAAAGGGAAAGGCAATCCAAAACCCGCCTTGAGGGGAAAGACAAGAAGACTCTCCAAAAAAAAAAGGTCCGCACCCAAGTGACCGAAATTGACGACGATGATGGATGGTAGGAGGGAAGGCGCAACGGAGAGGGAGAAAATTTTCCTAAAAGTTGTGTGTGCGGAAAGAAGGAGTGGCAGAAGAGGAAGGAAGTCCGGAGAGGTCCTGCACCGACTGCACCGACCGCCTTTGGCCACCTTCACCCTTTCATCCCGTCGGTCCCGACACACCTTCATTGACGGACGCCAATTTGGTATTGTATGCGAAAACGTAAATGCGATGCAAAGGCCGACCGTGGGGTTTTTGATATTTTCAAAGGAATCGGTCTTCCGAAGTTAGCTGGTTTTATAGATTGGTTTGCTGCCTCACGACATCCCCAGTTCGTATTCTAGATTATCTTGCTGACAAAGGGTCAACTCCAGCATATCAACGATGTGGTTTCCGTAGCAAAGAGTCGAATGTACCTACCAAGAAGTTGTTGTCGTGATTAGGTCGCTGGAGCTCTTGCATGGGTGACTTCCTCGAATTGCATGGAAGGGAGCCATCACCAAGAACCCACCATGAGAACCTTGCCGGTATCGGGGATGAGGAAGTCGGGCTGGGAAGAGGTGGGAAGGAACCAATGTCAGCATCAAGAAGGCAGTATCGTCTGTTATCATGTGCCTGTTTGCCTGTGGAGCGGGAGGTACCAGATCATGTCGGGTCTCTTTTATTAACGAAGTTGAGTGGGAAAGAGCAGAACGCGCATCCACGGCTGAGAACGGAAAACTATCTCCGTCATTCCTCATGGTATACAAGCGTAGTTTCCATATCGACCGACCGGGTTCAAAAGAAAAGAGTTACCGGCTGGGAATTGGCGAGTGTCTCCCGACAGCAGCAGGCGTGTACATCCGGGAAACGATGACGGCCATCACGGTCGATCCAGGTCGCGCGGAGTTGCCCATCATTTTCGATCGCAGGCAGCACAGCTCCACGGACAGGGATTCAGCCGCGAAAGACTTATCAGAAAACAAATGAGCGGCAACAGTGCTCGTGTCAAATCCCATTCACGATATAAGTCGTCAGCATGTTGGCATTCAAAGACTTGGACAGCCGCGAATCCAGATGTCGTTGAAAAGAGGTGGCAGATGGATATGGCAGCTGCCAGCAGCTGGCCAGCTTGAACGCCTAGGTAGAGTTCAAATGGACCTGGGGACTGGCAGGTAAGTGCAGTTGCAACTTTAAGTATCCAGAGGTCCCTCCGTTTTGGATACTTCACTTACTTATGCCATGTTAACACCGAAAACCATGGAAGGTATTGGGCATTTACAAACAACTCCGCCGCGTACATCGCAAAGGGAAGGAGCTCAAGTGCAACCGACAGAGCTACTTCAAGATGTCCGCCAGGGGCAAGTGGCATCGGCGTTAATACTGACGCTTGGACCACATCTACCAACGGGCACAAAGTGAGCTGCACCGTGGAGCTCCCCCCATTCCCCGTCCCTGTAGTGCGGCGTAGCGGGAAGTGGAAAGGTACCTCGACGGCTAGGCTACGAGAATAAGCCCAGAACACTTTCTTCTTTCCACAACAACTCGAGCGCATACCTTATCGACAGTCTCGGAAGCCCATGTAAATAAGAGTCGACTGGCGCATTTGGGTCGTCAAGATGCCCAGAAAAGTACAAACGTGGGACGATTACGACTCCGCTGTCGACCAGGTACGAACGCCGTCGTCGTTGAGCAACACCATCCATAGCTGGCGTACCCCCCGTTCAACGTTCACATCCAAACTGACCCTGGAACTGACATGGACGCAGATTATCCTCACACCATCCGACTCCGACTTTATCGATCAACTGATTCCAGTCCTCAAAGATGCGACAGCAAGCGGTCGAACAGCAACGCTCGTCCAGAGCTTTCCCAGTATGCAGAGGAGCGGGAGGGCGACATTGAACGGATCGGCTTGACGCAACACGAAGAGTTCCTTGGCTCCGTCAGCCAACTACAAACAATACGAGAGGAGACCGTAGCTTTGACTGCCGAAATTCTCGACCTAAACCAGTCGATCCAAGCGAGTACCGAAAAGTTAGCGGAGCAGAAACAGGCATTGGTCGATACACGCCGCGTCCGCCAGAACATCACCGACGTCTCCGATGCGCTCAGGGAATCACTCAAGATCATGCATGCTGTCAACAATGCCCATGACCTGATTCGCAAGAAGAAGTACTATGGCGCCCTCAAATCGCTGGAGGACCTCCAAAACGAATACCTAGTGCCCATCATCCAGAACAAGTATGCCACCCAGTACCGGCTGGCCGATCTGATCCAAAAGTCTATCCCCGCGTCACGGAAAACGATCTCGGAGGCTGTCATGACCGATCTGAACACATGGCTGTATCGCATTCGTGAGACCTCGCAGTTTCTTGGCGAGGTTGCTTTCTTTGGCACAAGGCAGCGGCTGGACCGCCAGCGGGAACGTGCTGAACAAAACCCGTACTTGGGCCACTTCAAGCTGAACTCTGCCATCGAGCTGGTTTTCGACGAGAGTGATGAGTTTGATGTCCTCGATAACGAAGAAGTCCAGGTTGACTTTACACCACTACATGAAGCGCTTCATATCCACGAGGCGCTAGGTCAAATTGACAAATTCCGTGCCGAGTATGGGGCCACTCGACGTCAGCAAAAGGATTTGCTGATGCCGAGTTCTGTGAATCTTTCATCCGATGAGGAAGACAACTCACTTCGTGATCTGCTGGAGCAAATCACCGGGTTCGCCGTAATTGAAAAAGCAACGATACAGCGTGCTCCGCAACTGCGATCCACAGTCGAGGTTGACGAGCTGTGGGATTCCATGTGCCAGACTGCCATCCGCCTCATTTCAAGATCGCTAACAGACGTGGATAATGCTGAACTGCTTTTGAAAATCAAGGGAGATATTGCGCTATTTATCCAGACCATGGAGGTGAGCAGTCTCTTGCCTTTGCTTGTTAAGAAGTACAAAACGCTAACCGATCTTCAAGAGCTGGAATTACTCTGTCTCCATGTTGAACAACTTCCAACTAACCCTCTTCTACAAATACGCTGAACTGCTTAAGCGTAGATTCAGCGATGACTTTCAAGAGATCGTCTCAACCGACGATTACATGCCTATGCAAATCAACAACACCGAGGAATACGAAAAGGTCGTCAAAGTCAGTTGGTATACTGAAGAGAAAGCTCCAGAAGAGCTCACGTATGTTTGCCATCATTTGTATTGCAAGTGAGGTTGTATGCTAACACGTAGTTAGGTTCCCCTGCGTCCTCCCCTTTTCACAGATGTACCCTCTCTGCTGCATTGATATCAGGAATTTCCTGAATCAGTTTTACTTTTTCTCTAATGATCATTTCCAACATCCCAACATTGTCGATGAGACGCTCAGAAAGGTAACCACTCTTTTCCCCTCCCACTCCGGGCTTTGTAATGTTGAAATCTAATGCCATTGCCAGTCACTGGATGAGCTCTTGACGGAGAAGGTCTGCCGCACTCTCGTGGAACGTCTCAACTCCCAATATCTAGGCCAGATCGTTCAGATCTTGATCAACCTGGAACACTTCGAAGAGGCTTGCCACCAGCTGGAACAGGAGCTAATTCGCGCGCGATCATCAACATCCGCAGGTGGCCCTGTCTCTCTCAAATCAACTGAGGAGTTTAGGAGCAACAAGAAGACAGCCGAGAAGCGCATATTCGAACTTGTCAACTCCAAAATCGACGACCTTGTCGACACTTCCGACTACAACTGGTTAGCTTGACCTACCGCTCTCCGTGACTTGCCGCCTGCTAACCATCACCAACAGGATGACACCGTCAAAGCCCACTGAACCTAGTAATTACATGCAGACCTTGACGAGGTATCTGGAGAACATAATGGGTTCCACCCTCCTCGGTCTGCCCCGGGAGATCAAGGAGCTCATCTATTTCGATGCGCTCAGCCACGCCGCCAACAAGATCCTTGCTCTACCCCTGTCTCCAGACGTCAAGAAGATCAACGCCAACGCTGTTGCCGCCATGGCTATGGACGTGCAACATCTTTCTGCCTTCGTCGCCAAGCTTGAAAACGCCCCCATGCTGGAGCAGAATCTGGACGAGCTTCAGCAGACAATCGCGCTCATGCAGTCGGACAATCACGAAGAGTTCTTTGACATTTCCACGAGGAACAAGAAGTATGGCCGTGTGGATGCCATGAATGGACCGATATTATTGGAAAAGTGAGTTGGACGATTGACTCTTGCCTGTCTATGTTACTAACCATATGCTACTTACTCTAGACTCACTCTGGGAATCGAGAGCACAACCACGAGCCGAGCCGCTGCGCCGCTCGCTAACTTCGGATCGCGCTTCGGTTTGCGTTGATGTGTCGGTCGAGCACGCCTAATAATATTGGTGCTGAAACTCGATTTGTAACTCTATATACCCCATATCTAGGATCATGTTTCCGCTTGTAAGAAATTTAATCACACCATGTCTTTTTTTCTGCTAATGAGTCTCTGAACTGGTCGTTTTGTCGCACCGCCCACTCTCTTGCAGTGGTGAATGTAATCGAATGAGACCCAAAAACAGAGAGAAAAGGAATTGAGCTCCCTAGTTACGGTGTACATGGTTCTCTTTTCAATTCGTTTTTCCTTTCTTCTTGACATTTTCCCCTTTTTCAGTTTCGGCTGTTTGATTATGAGCTCCGATCCTTAGATCTATTGAACGACCCTCTTTACTGGCGAACCCTGCTTGGGATTGACGTTTCCCTTGGTGATTCTTCCCATGTTTTGCAAGAGAGTGGTGCTGTTGTAACAGGATAACCAGTCCAGTTCACACTCACGGCTGAGTACTCTTGCTGGCTTTCACATGATGACACAAGCCATATCATGGTGAACGTACTGATTTTGAAGAGAAGAAGCGTGGCTTCCTTTATCAGTTAATCACCATGTGTGCTATGAACATTGTTTTGGACATGAAGCAGAATCAAAAACTAGAATACGATACTGAACAAGAAAATGCCAATAACTTAAGACGCTCAAACAACAAAACAGCGCAAAAAAAAAGGAAAACATGATAAGCATCTTTATGACATAACCGACCGACTGACCAGCCATCCAAGCACCCTTCCTCTGTCCATGGGACGCAACCTGAAACAAACGAAATAACCCGTATTTACGCCACGCCATTGTATAGTGTTCGATCGGCAGTCTTTCGAGTCTTATAGGGATAAAGATAAAGAAGCGATAAAGATAGAGAAACGATCATGGGTGAAAGTTATGTCATTGTCACTTAATGCCGTGATTCATCACTCCGGCCCCGCCCATGGGCTCGTGACGACACTCCAATCCCATCTCCTCCAGAATGCGACTCTTTAAGCGTTCTGTGGTCAAGTCAGCATTTTGCTTACCAGGCGTGAGAATCACGGAAGCCCATATCTAACGTACCTGTTGAGGAGGCATTGTCGAGTAGTACATGCCATCAACGTCGTACATGGGAGGTTGAGGCTGTCCATACGCCGCTGGAGCACCTGGCTGTACCTGACCCGAGTACATGTTCTGCTGGCGATAGTCGGCCTCAGGGGCGATGGCATGGCCACCTAACGTGTAGTCAGGAGCGGCCATGGGATGCTGTCCGCCATGGCTAGGCGCAGCGACACCCGGTATGCCCTGAGCTTGCTGGGCGGCGTTTTGCGCAGCCTGCGCGGCGGCGGCGGCGGACTGACCTGTCGCGCGCTTTGCGTGTGTGGAAGCTTCCTCCCTGGGCACGATGTCGATGAGGAAGTCGAACATGTCGGACTTCGAGAGGGCCGAGGCAATGTCACTGCGCTGCAGGGTACGGCGCTTGTTCTCCTCTGCATGGATCCACGCGCGCATGGTCAATTCGGTGATAAAGATATCGCATCCCTTGGCGAAGAGGATGGGTGCTTCAGCCGAGATCATCTTGACTTCGGGGTCCGCCTTCATGACCTTCTTGATTCGTGCCAAGGGCAGCTGATGGAGCTTGTAGTCGTGGGTATCATTCTCGAGGTGGTTGATAGTTTGTTGCCAATAAGCCGTCAGAATTTCCTTGTAGTTGCCCTGAAGACCCTGATGAACGTTGGCCCATGTTCCCGTGTAAAGGTCTGAGGGCGCAAAGCCTTGTTGGGAGAGCTAGAAACGTGAAATGTGTTAGAGTGTGAGCTATGATGTAACAGGACCGAGAAGCCCTCTTGTGAAGACTGAGTACTAACCGCAGCACTGGCACCTATATAACACATCTTGGTGAGTAAACAGTTCGCTAACAGGGAGCGTTGGGGTGACGACTACTTACCATAATGGCCACCTTGGCTTGTGTCGTAGACGGGCTGCTGGCGTTGTTGCTGGTTATGCCCAGCCGAGGACGGGTTTTGGGGATCCATGGCGGATATCAATGTTTGGCGAGCTGCGGGGAGACGGGGACTGGTTGGTCGCAAATCGCTGGCCTGTATTGGATGACTTGGGTCAATAAACCTCTGTCTTTAATAACAAAACCGAGTTTCAACGTGAATGTCTTGCTGGGGTCGTGCAATGGGCGCGCTTTTCCGAAGAGCTCTCTGTTTTTTCTCAACCAGGAAGATTTAGTTCCTGCGCGTTGGGCTTAGAACTATCTATGGTGTCGGCAAGCCGTCTTTTGTTTACTTGCGAGAGAAGCGACGAATGACGATCGCAAAACCGACTCTCACTCAGAAATCTTGCTTGATTGGGCAGAGTGATTGGCGGGACTCCTTGTTTGGGGAGAGGGGAACAAATGGGTGGAGTTTGATGCCAATGGACGACTCGCTGCTCCGGGCTCGCCTTCTCGATTTCGGGACGAGCCACACGGGTAAGAGCTCCAGCTGGTGAAGGGGTGAAATGATTGGTGAGAATGGGGTGTAGTGTAGGTCCGTCTTTTGGCTTGAAGCCAAAGGCCTGGGAGATGCTATTCGCGGGAGCCGGTGGATGAGAATGAGATGGGGAGACTAGCAGATAAGCACGTACCTGTAAAGCAAATGACTTTACTCAAAAGACGCTGGAGGATGTGAAGAGCGGATGATGGGAATATGTAAGATGGTAAGATGATGATTTGTTGGTGAAAGCGGTCAGACTCAGTAGAACCAAAAAAGGTTGGGCATCAGTGCAACAACTCCAAGTGACAGCCGCAGCATTCACTGCAGTCCCTCTGCAGCAGAAAGACGCCGAAAGACAGTGACTGGCAGCTGTGGCGCGCTACCTGACAGCTCTGCTCGACGTCGCGGCCACGCCTGCCCCCGAGCCCAACCGTTGACAACTGGCACTCTCCAGCCTCATTTCTCCGCCCTATGACGCACGGCCAGGCGCGGCCCGGGCTCGAGCCGGGGCTGTGGGTTGCCAACTCATTGGAGGCCTGGCCCGTGCAGAATCTCACGTGATGGCGGAGTTCAAGCAGTCGACAACAAGCAATGCCAAGCCTTGGCTCAAATGGGGAACGCCTGGTCTTTTTCTGCGGGTCCCACTCAAAATTTTATCTTTTCTTGTCCCCAAATGTGAAGCTTCGAATTTTCTTCCCTTCTCTTCCCCTCTCTCCAATCGCTTGCAAATCTTGAGCAGCTTTTCCACAGCTTTCAATCCACGAAACTGTGCATTTGCCCGACCAGCAAGATGGCGGCTTCCGTGCTCGGCTTGTCCGATGCTGAGATCGACAAACTCCTTGCTGAAGCCGAGTCTCGCCTTGCGAACCCGGACAGCTCCAATGCTGTAGCGGCTCCCCAGACAGATGCTGCTGTTGCACCCGCAGCGCAAACCCCCGTAGTGGTTGCGGCTCCCTCGGCCGCTCCTGCTGAGGTGGTGAAGCCGACCTTGGAGAACAAGTCCAAGAAGTTGTCGGTCCGGGTGCCCCAGTCCAAGGAAAGACCAAGGTACGTTCGACAGTCCTCGACATCTCCATTACACTTCCTTCCATGATGAAAATCTATCCCATTTTTTTCATGACGCAGTTCGGCGCCCCGTCATGGGGTCGTCGTCTGCACCATAATGATTCCTTTATGTTCATAGTTACTCTGACTGGAAACTACTCCTTCTCTTCCGTTACTGCTCTACAACCTTGCGGATCAGGATGCTGACTAGAGAAAACAGGGACCTAAGACTGACGCCGGTGCCGATTGGTTTAACATGCCCCGCACAAATCTGACCCCCCAGCTGAAGAGAGACTTGCAAATTCTGAGAATGCGTGAGGTCGTCGCCATGGGAAAACAGTACTTCAAGAAGGACTCTCGCAAGGACTTTGTGCCCGAGTTCTCCCAAGTTGGCACTATCATTGCTGGTGCTACTGACGGTCGTGACAGCCGACTCACCCGCAAGGAGAGGAAGCGGACCATTGTTGAGGAGGTTCTCGGTGCTGAGGTTGTTGACAAGTACAAGAACAAGTACCACGGCATCCAGGAGAAGAAGCAGAGCGGAGGAAAGAACTTCTACAAGCAGCTCGTCAACGGCAGGAGAAAGCGCAAGTGATCTGAACGCCCCATGGTCAAATCACACCTACGACCGTACCACATACATACAGCATCATGTGTACACGATTGTTGCAGCAAGCAACGATGCGACACCGACATCAAACGCCGCTTCCGGCTCCTCGTCGCTTGGCCCTGGTCGACGCGACAGAGGATTGGTATTATGTCTGGCGACATTGTTTGGGATCTTAGTGTATCATTTCAGTCTTGAGCTACGGTTCGACTGCACAACAGTTTCCCTCGTCGTGAGGCGATCAGAGAAGGCAGCTCTGCCAGTCATTGCGAGATTGCCAGGACTTTTCACAGGAAGGATAGAGAAATCTCCTTTAAATAACCACGGGTTGACGACCAGTGTGTTGAAAAGCCCAAAAAAAAACGAACAAATCAAATGTTTGACAACCAACCGCTGTTTCTTGTAATGCTGCCAGTGACTTGTAGTTTTCTGCCATGTTCTCTCTTCCATGTAATGGTGATGTTTTCGCAGTTTAAGAAATGGGCGTCACAAGCTCCTTATCGATAAGAACCCCGGATTGACCTACCCCAATAACCCGCGCTAAAAACTCGGTTGATCCGCGCGCGCGCGAGGGCAACTTGTAGACGTTCAACATCCCAGACCACCCAGAGCAAAGATGATAATAAGGCCAGCGGTACGGTCCCTTCAGGGACGGGCGGTAAGCATTCTCCTCATGTGTTTTGTAGGATGTGTGCGCTCGTAGGATATCCGTCTAACCAGCGTGGAAACGGCAGCCTCTCGCAACCCTCCGGTCCGCCCAGGCCGTCTTCCAGCCGTTGCCCCAGCTCCGGCGCAATGCCTCGGTGTAAGTGACCAGCGTGCTGTTCGAGATCCGTTGTTATTCATGAGCACCACGAGCTAACACTTGCGTAGGACCACAGGTCCCGATGCCGCCTCTGAGGCGAGGTTAGTAGCCCATTACCGCAAACCGCCCTCCTCGACAATGTCGCCGTTCCCGCGAAATCTGTCCGCCCGCTCGTCGAACACCCCCGCCGATATGCCCTCACTCTCTCCATTAATACATCGTCGCATAACCGAGCCTGCCCGGACGGTACAGAATGACTGACCGGTATATCCTGCTAGCAGCACCCCGATCGCCAAGATCACGACCACCACCGAGCCTCCCAAGGACGAGAACAAGGCCAAGGCCGCCGCCGTCGCCACGGAGTCCGAAGAGCAGGAGGTGATCATGTCCCGCATGCCCCGCTCGCTCGAGGCCCTCTACCTCCAGCCGCTTCGCCGCGAAGCCGAGTACGGCGTTCCCTCGTGCGACCTCCAGCTCCGGTCCTACTCGATCCGCAACCTCGAGTTCTTCTGCGACTTCGCCCTCCGCGCCGCCTACTACCTCGGCCTGCCTGCCTTCGGCCCCGTCCCTCTGCCCCGCATGATCGAGCGCTGGACTGTGCCCAAGTCGCATTTCATTTTCAAGAAGTCGCAGGAAAACTTTGAGCGTGTCACTCTCAGGAGGCTGATCCAGATCAAGGACGGTCACCCGGAGACGGTGCAGCTGTGGTTGGCCTTCTTGCAGAAGCATGCCTACTACGGCATTGGTATGAAGGCTAACGTTTGGGAGTTCAGCAAGCTTGGTACGTGGAAATCCGTTCGATACATAACTTCCGCTTCGCTACGAGGGGTGTTTCCTGGAGACACGCATGCTAACCAACAATTGTCAACACAACAGGCGTCAGCAAGGCTATGGACGAGAGCAAGGGCGAGGTGGAGAAGCTTCTGGAGACCAGATGGGAGCACCTCAGCCATGTCAGCGACTTGAAGGGCGTCGGCAACTTCGAGGACTTCCTTGCCAAGGAGAGACTCCGGATCTCTGGTGGACGCTAAAGCGGATACAACAACTACTGGTCCCGTCTCAAGAAGTCCTTTCAGCAGCCTGGGTGGTTGTTCTTGTCGTTGTTGTCTGTCTCTCTTCCGGTCAGGTTTGTCCCCTTTTGTCTCTTCTGCATATGGCCCGTCCTTTGTGTGTATAGATACTGTAGCATAAGAAATGTATAGTACAGATCAGGAGACACGGCCATGCCGCTGCTGTGCTGTACACGAGAGAAGACTAGACGGCGTTTGCCAATGAAAGAGGCTGGTGAGAGAAAGCACAACAACAATGATGACCATACGTCTAAGCAGTATATGCCACAGATGCAGACATCACATACAGCTTTTCTCTACCGATCATATGTCCCAGCAGACAACACGGAATCTATCTTACAACAACCTCACCATCCTTCATCACCTCAAGCGCCCAACTCCACAGCCCTCCTAACCCTACTCATTGTCCTCTCTGCGCTCTCATTCGCCTTCCTCGCTCCCTCCTTAATAACCTCGTCCAAATATCCCCCTTCCTTACCCTCATCCCCCTGCAACAACTCCAAATACCTCTCCCTAATGGGATTTAGTTCCCTCTGCACCACCTCGCTCACCCGTTCCTTCAACTTCCTCAACGGATTCTCCTCGCCCTCCCCTCCCAACTGATTCCCAACCTCGGCATTGATCTGCGCCGCGATCTCCTGCGCCGAACGATTTTGGGAGTCGAAATGGCTGAGAAGCTGAAGCAGGTTGGACACGCCGGGACGTTGGACAGGGTCGAAGGTGATTCCCAGAGAGGGGGTCAACGAGTCGGTGCGCGCTTTTAGGATCTTGGAGTGGATCTCGGAAGGGGTGTCGGTGAGGAGGATGCGGGAAGTAGGGTCGGGGTCGGATTTGGACATTTTCTTGGTGGGCATCTGGAGGGACATTACGCGTTTTGTAGGGGCTGTTTTAAGTGTTGTTAGATGATGATAAGAACAGTAACTCCTGTCGAAGTCAAGAGTCAAGTACATATCATAAATCGAAAGTGAACATGGAATGGAACGGAAGGGGATGAAATAGAAACAGACTTACAAAGAATCGTCTCAGGAGCAACCAACACCTTGCCCTTATACGCATGATTGAAGTTGGTCACGCACTCCCTAGCAAACTCAAGATGCTGCCTCTGGTCCTCGCCGACGGGGACATGCGTCGCCCTGTGAACGAGAATATCCGCCGCTTGGAGGATGGGGTAGGAGAACAAGCCGTGCTTGAGAGACAATTTGGCCTTGTCGTCTAGCATGTTGGCGTCATCTGCTAGTTGCAGTTTACTCTGTTGTTGTTCATTCCGCCACACATCAGCATTTCGTTTCTGAAACCCCTCCCTTCCTCCCTCGGCTCTCAAACGATGAACTCACCTTCCACTGCGTCATCCGACTCAAATACCCCGTACTAGCCGTGCAACTCAAAATCCACTGCAGCTCCGAGTGTCCCGGCACCATGCTCTGGTAGAAGATGGTGCAGCGCTTAGGATCCAAGCCGATAGCCAGTAGCGTCGCCAGCATCTCCCTCTTCCACTTCCTGAGGTTGCCGCGCTGCTGCGGCACCGTGATGGCGTGCAGGTCGACGACGGAGAAGATGAGATCCGTGGTCTCCGGATCTGCGTTGTCTTGCATGCGCTTCCATTGCTGGAGGGCGCCGAGGTAGTTGCCTAGGTGTGGTACGCCGGTGGGTTGGATGCCGGAGAAGATTACTTGTCTTTGCGGCTTTTTGGCAGCCGTTTGTGTTGTCGCCTCAGGTGCTAATGGGGCTGAGGAGTATAGGCGTTGTTGGAAAGTTGAGGCTCTAGTGGTTAGGGAGGTGAGGCCATGCCGGCTCAGGAGGCCGGGGGCTTTGGTGAGGGACTTCATGATGTGTGAGAGGATCGACCCAATCCTTTCCTGCCGTGGCTGTTAGTTTTAGTTTGGTCAAGTTGAAACTTTCAAGAACTCCTCCCAAGTAAGCAATGGAGTGAGCAGATAGCGATAGCGTATTTGGACTTACACTGAGACGTGGTGGATTCAGTCTGGGTGAAGCTCGACTGAAGATGGGGTGAACTGTAGTTGGAAGAGTGAGGGTTGTGTATGGCAAATGGCAGTCCACCCCTGATGCAGATTGGGCTTGGCAGGGTTGATTATGGAGGTGACGCTAGGACCACGTATAGACGAAATAGAGCTCTCCTCGAGCCCTTCCGAGCTCGTCTCCTATCTTCATAAGCTGGAGGTACTTCGCTTGTATGTGTGTGTTTCATGATGAACAGAATCTGGAACGAAATATTTACAATTTGGGTTGTGGTTTCAAGTCATATACAGTTGTTGTAGTGACTCCATCACATTTCCAAATTGCAACGTTGAATTGCAACGTTGCCTACCATGTCTGAATAATGCTTTCAAGAGCCGTTGCTAAGATTACCCAGTCCGCATTGGAACGAGCGAAGGAGCTCATAAAAAACGAAAAGTCACGGAAGTTACTTCACAAGCTCCAAGGTATCCATAATTTTTGAGTAAGATCCAAGGCTCATAAACATCCGTTGCATACGCCTAGGAAGCATAAGAAAAGTTGGAGCCTCTGCAAGCCAGCCAGAACTCCCTCACCACCTGGTTGGTATTCCTCGCCCCTCTCAGTCTGTGTAGACGCGGGTCAGTAACTAGTATATAGTGAACGGGCGAGGTATATGGCAGACTTACCCAATGATCTTCTTGAGGAAAGTAGACTTCTCTTCATTGCCTACCTGCGAACTGGGGAAATTTTGGTCGAAGAGCGCCTGTTCGAGCCATTGCCTTGAACGCATCTGGCTCGTCACAAGCTTCTTGAGAGGGTCGCTCAGCTTGTCTAGCTCGCTTCTCGCAGCGTTACCACCGATATTCTGGATGAGAGTCTGTGATATGAGCGGGCCGAGGTGTTCCATAGCATTGTTGATGGTTCCTTGGAGATCGGGGGACTCGGACTTGAGGGTAATGAAGTTACTCTGATTTGGTTGTTAGTACAATACACACTCAGGTTAATGATTCAAGAGACGCGTGGAGACATACCCAAAACTCCGCCGACGCTGTCTTGGGCAGCGGCTCCCTCCCATTCAGGACCCTGAGCGAGAACATGAAAAAGTACTCGAGCATCTGTGGCGGCTGAACGTGGAACACCACCTCGGGATACCTTGTCATGATCTTATCCACGAAGCAAATGCCGTTCTGCGCCACTTCCGTGTCGCTTTCTGGTTCCGGGAGACTGCTGAGCATCTGGATTACCCAAGGTAGTAACTCTGCCAGTAAGGACGGAACCAGGTTTTTCGGTCCTCTGTACAGACTTCCGACAAAAGAGCATGCCGTGCTCAGCAAAGCTCCCAGTCTAGGGGTTTCGAATCTTTGTTGACTGAAGAAGTTTGTCACGACTTCAGGAGGGAACACGAATGGGCCCGACTCAGTCTCTGAAAACCCCGCTCGGAAGATGATGCAAATGATCTCTACGACCTCCCCGCTGGTGTTGAAAGTTCTCTGCATCTCGAGCAAGACGTTGAGGATATCGGACTGGATAGCGGAAAGTTTCGGGTCCTGGTTGGCAGAAGAAGGATCGGCATCAATGTCAACCACATGCTCCTTGACATCCTGCATACCCTTGGCCATGCTTTGGAGAGATCGGAGAGCGCGGACGGCGAGTTGATGAGAGACTTCGTCGGCAGAAGGAACGTCGCCCGGTTGTTCGACACCGCGCAAGAAGTTGGGGTCGGAAAGGTTCAACATACTGGGCTGCTGTTTGAGCTGAACAGCACGCTCGCAGTCTGCTTTGATGATCGAGTAGAGGTTCTCAAAGACAGCCAGCTTCTGGTTCGAATCCGGAATAGCCTGGATGATGGAGGCGATGGCAAGGATGATACGCTCCTCCGCCAGAGAGTCGAGAACTTGTCTGCTACGGATAGTTTGGTAGTGCATGATAAATGCCGGTGCTTCGCCCGTAAGAATGCAGCGACACGATGAGCAGAGAGTTGAGATGGATTTGGCAGAAGGTCCACCAAGAACAGGATCGCCCACAGCCGCAAATAGCAGGTTGAGCGCATGCGGGAGATACTCGGAATGCCGCTCAAAGTACTCACAGTACCGTTCAATGAGCAGAAGACCCGTTTGGCGCAGACGTAGCGGGACCGGACCTTGGGCCTGACCAAGAAGATCGAAGAAGGGTGAAGCAAAGACCTTGCTTAACTCCACGTCATATTGGGGGTCTTCCGTGATACAGTCGGACAAAGATCCGAGACAGAATGCTGATGCCTCAACTTCAGCCCACGACTGTACAGAGAGGGCCTGGAGGAAAAGACCAGAGAAGAATGAGACTAGAGTGAGATTCTCGAGAGTGAAGATGGACTGTAGCATATCAGCTATGTCTTTTCTCGCATCCGTGAAGCCGACACGCTCATTAGAATCCCACTCGGCGAAAGTCTCTGCAGGCGGCCATTGTGCCTTCCTCCAGCAGTTGGACACGACACTCTTGAGGTGTTGTTCAGCGTGCGGGCGCCAGACGTTTACGTTTGCTTCCTCTTCTGAGTAGATATTGTCGATCATGGTTTCGACAAACGTGGCCCAGAACTCCAGGGCAGGGACGAATATCGAATCTTCGCCCACCAGATAGCCATCAGCAGCGAGAAGACCAGCTAATCTCCCCAGAAACCTCTGGGATCGCTCGTCTGTGCTACACATGAGATCTGAAACCTTGGCGTCACCATACGCAAGCATGAGAAGGCCAAAAGAAATACCCTCAATCTCATGATCGCCGTGAATGACCCTGTCGTAGTGCCCTGCCGCCCATTCGCTGTCGAACAGGGAGGCCAACGCCGCATAGTGTGCTTCTGTGAAGAATCCCGAATAATTGCTGAGTACGTCACTGAAGAGTTCGGAGGCCGGCTGGAAGAGGCCGTCGATGGCGAAGCAGTTGAGAGCCGGACTGACAAGTTCCCGTAAATGTGTCACTAGAACATCGGTGTTGGAGGACAGTCGTTGAGCGTAGAGGATCCAAGCCTATTTGTTTGTCAGTCACCGGTTCATCGAGATATTTGGTCGTCGGATAAATCCTTGGTTGACTTACCTGGAAACACACAAGCGACTCGCCCTGGACCTGGTAGGTGTCATCTGATGGGAGGAATCCGCGTGCTAACAATGAAGCCAAGTCGTGGGCATTCCGGACGAGACGCTCGTGTACGTGGACGTACTTTATCGAGTTCATATCCGTCTTTCCGACTTCTTCGACAAGGGAGGTGGCGAACCAGATGGCGACCTTGAGTTTGGAAATCTCGAGACTGTTGACAATGATAGTGGTGTCCAGAGCGTTGTCCAAAGCCTCAATGGGGGTAGCCCGCCCGAGATCGAGGCTGTAAAGAAAATGCCGAAGGCAGTTGGGCCATAGCTGAGAAAAGTGGATGAAGAATGTGACGAGAGCAATGCACAACTTTTTGATAACAAATGGAGCAACACCTTCGGCACACGACGTTATTGTCCAACCAAGGATATTTTGGAGCAGCTCTTTTGCCTCATCGTCGGTGAGGTTGGAACTTTAACGAGTTTCAATCAGTTTTGAATGGCCCAGTAGAGAAGAGGAGTGGGATGGCGAGGGTACCTGTCTTTGTTAAGCTTGACAATGATGGTCAAGGCCGCATAGAATTTGATGTTGTCATTCGGGTTTCCAATCAAACTCTGGGCAAGTTGCCAGCCCTCAGGGGACTTTTGTAGCCTCTGGAGAACCTCCTGGATACGTGAGACGGTCTCAGGGGGATTCGGCTGATAGAGAGCTACAATCAACTGTCAGCACAAGTGAGTTGTGTTAGCCTCGTGGTCTCTCTACGGGTCTCCTAGCTCATATGGTAACCCGCCCTTCTCTTATCACATGTCCTCTTACCTGTTCCACCTCCGCCAGACTGGTGGGTAGTGGCAGTGGTTCCATTCTGATTCTGTACTATAGAGTGGGGAGGAGTGTAAAGTGCAAAAAATATGTCCACGGGCGTCCACCTCGGCGAGGAAAAGTGAAGGCGTGTTGAGGAGGAATGCCAAGGAAGAGAAAGTTGGTGGATCGGATCGGTGGGTCGTTTGCCGTGGTTCCAGAACTGTGAGTTTGTGATCACTTTGATATTCAAGGATGGCGAGATATATATGGAGTTTGGGGTGGAATATTGCGCTTGTCGTGTTGGAGCCTTTTTTTCTTTTTTTTTTTTGGGATCTTTGCGATCCCTCTTGACTTCTTTTTTTTGAAGATATTTTGAATACCAAAGTCTGTGGTTGTTGTTTCGGTTTTCGGTGATGAAAGACGATGGAGCCCGTGGCGGGCTAGAATTGGCAGTGCTTGTCTCAACTTTCAAGTGCCCAAGCTGAGATGGGATTCATCAGCAGTGTGCGGACCTGACGAGTAACGTCCCTTCACCTTTTCTCAGGTCGACGACGTCAACTTCGTTGAATATGTAATTTTGAGTAATGACAGAATTCTATCAAGTAATTGTTGACTTTAGTTTGGTCTCAAGGATACCCCGTCGGTGAAGCTTGTGATATTTTTCTTTTCGAGGTTGCTGCTGGCAAAATCACAACAAAAGGGAGGGCGACTCCCATCCCTCCAAACAAAAAAACAAAAAAACAAAAAAACAGGCTGCCGTCTTGCGGGTTGCCGCTGCGGCAGCTCCGCAGGGCAGCCACTTGGGTTCCCTGACAGGCGGGTGCAGCGGGGCAGGACGGAAAGAAAGACTTCAGGTTTTGGTCACATATCATCAGGTACGGGACGGGAAGCTTCCGTTAAGCGAACTTCTTCCCGTCCAGTCCTTCCGAATGTGCTTTACCATTCGATCGGGCATCCGGAGGTAAGCTTGAAACTTTGTTTGATCATCAACGAGTGGATTGTACGCTTGTGAATCATGTTGTCATGTCGTGTTTTGTGTTTGTGCTGTGTCGCACAGGCCGCTGTCCATCCAGCAGCTTCGTCCATTTGTTAGTGAAAGCTTCTTGCAGCCACGCTATCATAGGGTTTCCACTAACATAATCGACTGGGACCACCCGGCGGAGGGCGGCCATAGAGCCCGGTGGAGGTGGAGTGACATGGCTCAAAACGGAAAGTAGCTCCAACGACGGCCGTTGATCGTTGGGCGTAGAGGAGTTCCCGCGTTGGGGTTGAACCCGGCAAATCTGATAGGGAGGTACATGCCGGTGTCACACTGACGTGCAGCATCGCTAGTGTTCTAGAAGTACCTGCGATAACGTCGTGTGACCAGAAACGTTGCGACGTGCTTTCTGCTTGCTATCTTGCCCCTCAAGGTCCCGTCCACCAACTACGCCCAAAGTAGAAGTCCCCAACTTGACCCTTCCAATTCGTCCAAGTCGATGAAGTGATAGCTTCTCGGTAGCTGCTATCCTATTAAATCACTGCCCCCCTCTTGTCCTGTCTGCGTGGCTGTCCTTCTTGCGACGTTACGGGAAGCCATCTCCTCTCCATGCGCAACCTTTGGTCCCTTCCCTCTTCTTGCCTGACAGCAGTTGCCTCCTCTTCTGTCTCCCGATCAGCCATACGCTCCCAAGCCGCCAGAGTTCTACATAATCTGCCCAAGGCCCCAACTCCTTCTCCTCGGCCGCCACGTTCGACTAGAGCATTCTCTCTTACATCAAGGTTATTCCAACATCTTAAAGCCGCTTCGGACGAAGAGATCATGACTGTCAACACAACCGATCGCCTCGCCGCTCTGCGGTCTCTCATGAAGGAGCGCAGTGTTGATATCTATGGTACGCCCCGTGCCTTTCTCCACCCAGACAATCCCACTGGCCGCTGACCCTTTTGGAACCCTGCAGTTGTCCCCTCAGAAGACAGCCATGCCTCCGAGTACATCACCGACTGCGACGCCCGCCGTACTTTCATCTCGGGGTTCAGTGGCTCTGCCGGAACAGCAGTCGTCACGCTAGACAAGGCCGCTTTGGCTACGGACGGTCGCTACTTCAACCAGGCCTCCAAACAGCTGGATGAGAACTGGCACTTGCTCAAGACCGGGCTCCAAGATGTTCCCACCTGGCAAGAATGGACAGCGGACGAGTCTGCTGGCGGAAAGACTGTTGGCATTGATCCTACTCTGATATCTCCAGCCGTGGCCGAGAAGCTTAACGGCGATATTAAGAAGCACGGTGGCTCAGGCTTGAAGGCTGTCACAGAGAACTTGGTGGATCTTGTTTGGGGAGAGAGCAGGCCACCTCGTCCCAGCGAGCCGGTCTTCTTGCTGGGCGCCAAGTACGCAGGCAAGGGCGCGGCAGAGAAGCTTACGGACCTGCGCAAGGAGCTCGAGAAGAAGAAGGCTGCTGCTTTTGTCGTGTCGATGCTCGACGAGATCGCGTGGCTTTTCAACCTCCGCGGCAACGACATCACATACAACCCCGTCTTTTTCTCATATGCCATCGTTACAAAGGACAGCGCGACCTTGTACGTTGATGAATCGAAATTAACGGACGAGGTCAAGCAATATTTGGCCGAGAATGGCACTGAGATCAAGCCTTACACCGACCTCTTTAAGGATACCGAGGTACTTGCGAATGCTGCTAAGAGCACCAGCGAGTCGGAGAAGCCCACCAAGTACCTGGTCTCTAACAAGGCCTCTTGGGCTCTCAAGCTGGCGTTGGGCGGCGAAAAGCATGTGGACGAGGTCAGGAGTCCTATTGGGGACGCAAAGGCCATCAAGAACGAGACGGAACTTGAAGGCATGAGGAAGTGCCACATTCGTGACGGCGCTGCCCTGATCAAGTACTTTGCCTGGCTTGAAGACCAACTGGTTAACAAGAAGGCCAAGCTGAACGAGGTGGAGGCCGCTGACCAGCTGGAAAAGTTCAGAAGCGAACAATCCGACTTTGTCGGTCTTTCGTTTGATACCATTTCTTCCACCGGGCCAAAGTGAGTTTCTTTGTGAGAGGGCTGATTTACCACAATTTGCTAACATCAACGCAGTGGCGCAATCATCCACTACAAGCCTGAAAGGGGCGCTTGCTCTGTGATTGACCCTAATGCTATCTATCTTTGCGACTCAGGCGCACAGTTTTATGACGGAACAACGGATGTTACCAGAACACTGCATTTCGGCCAACCAACCGCTGCCGAGAAGAAGTCCTACACCTTGGTTCTCAAGGGAAACATTGCTCTAGACACGGCGGTATTTCCCAAGGGAACTAGTGGTTTCGCTTTGGATGCCTTGGCCCGCCAATTCCTCTGGGTAAGTGCTAACTTTACTCCCAGTGATATGAAATCCATGATATGCTAACTATTATCATAGAAATATGGCCTTGATTACCGCCACGGAACCGGCCACGGAGTTGGATCTTTCCTGAACGTCCATGAAGGCCCCATCGGCATCGGCACTAGGAAGGCGTACATCGATGTTCCTCTGGCTCCTGGCAACGTGCTGTCCATCGAGCCCGGCTATTACGAGGATGGCAACTACGGAATCCGCATTGAGAATCTGGCCATTGTTCGCGAAGTGAAGACTGAGCACCAATTCGGCGACAAGCCGTATTTGGGCTTCGAGCACATTACTATGGTACCCTACTGCAGGAAGCTAATTGATGAGAGCCTGCTGACGCAGGAAGAGAAGGACTGGCTGAACAAGTCTAACGAGGAGATCAGGAAGAACATGGCAGGTTACTTTGACGGAGATCAGCTCACCACGGACTGGCTGCTGCGGGAAACAAGCCCGTTCTAGTCATGCTCGCTCTCCTTCTGTGAAACGGATGGTGTTGGGAAGGGTGTTCGGCATTTGAACATTTTGGATACCCCCAAGAAGATAAGACTGTTAGTACATCCAATTAAAGCATATGTATAAGCGGAGTGACCAACGCGGGACTGGATTATTGGTTGCTCGACGGAAAGAGAGGGACAAGAAGGGTCGTGGGCGTTCGTTGAAGTTTTATAAGTGTGGCAGCCTCATAGCATTGGATAGTAGCTGATGTTTCGAAAAAGCGTAAAATGACCAAGACATAAAAAAGATGCAACATCATACATGTCCTCATGCCAACTCCGTAAAACCCTTTCCGGATGAGATGATGGAACCGCCTGTGCATCATGATTGGTGAGATTAATATGTATTCCTCCTTCTTCTAACCCCCCCCCCCCCCCCCCCC